CAAGTTGTATTGGATCACAGCCACACCCGGGTTCTTGCTTATTGTCGGCAACTCCTTAGTGACCTCAGGATCACTGGGACTGTTGTCCCAGATGTTGGAGGGCCCACAAATCGAAGCATTCACCACCTCGTAGTTTGTAGCGGAGTTCCCAATTCCCACTTTAGTCCCATTTATCAAGACATCTCCTCAGGCTGAGGACAGCAGTTTTAATCACGTAAAATTCTTGCATCCAGAAACTGATGCTTCAAAAGCACAGTTCTAAGTGAATGCTGGACAGTTCAAAATAGGAAATGTTCTTTCCTGTTTTATCCCACCTGAGTCATTGAGTTACCTGCAGTTTGCATGGTATTTGGGGTCAAGATTTGCTGGGCTGAGTTTCTGAATTTAATCTGTCATTGGTGAGTGCTTCCTACCACCCACATTTTGAGATTTAAAAAAAAATAATAATTAAGATACCATGATTTACAAAGTCATTCATAATAGAATTGTTTTGGGCATATGGTTTCAATACCAGCCCCACCACCAAAGCTCCCAGGTTCCCTCCTGGCTCCCGGCCTGCCCCCTTGGCAGGCATACGGCAAATATTACTTGCTTCAACAAAACTTAAAGGAATGGCAAATGGAATTATCAGAAAATAAATCAGTAAAATTCAATTTGTGATGATTGATTGCCATAGGATTTTAACTTATGTAAGTAAAGAAATTCAACTCAGTGTGAAAAAAAAGTACTTAATCAGGCATAGAACAATCAATGTAAATGAGATGTTAATTCATTATTGAAAATGTGTAAAATCCCTTAGCAAGCTAGGAATAAACATACCTCTCTTAACCTAGTAGCAGACAAACATGTGTCCCGTTATTAAGTGCCATACTCAATCTCACATGCTGGGAAATTTGTCCTGTCCTTTAAGGAAGCTCTTTTAATGCTTCTTGCAAAAGTGGTTTTAAGGCTATAAATTCCCTAATTTGTTGCCTATCTATGAAGCTCTTTATTGTTTCTTCAAATCTGAATGATAAGCTGGCTGGATAGAGTGTTCCTTCATTATTGTTGTTGTTGTAGTTTTGCTTTTGGGTCACACTCAATAATTAACGTTCAGGGGTTACTTCTGGTTCTTCACTCAGGAATTGCTCCTGACAGTGCTTGGGAAACCCTATGGGATGCTGAGAGTTGAACCTGGGTTGGCTGTGTGCAAGGTGAACAAATGTCCTACCTGCTAGACTGTCACTGGCCCCAAGTATTCTTGATGAGGTGTTCATTTCGTTGAAGTTTTTTTTAAAAATTTCATTAGTGAGACACCATGAGGTACAGTTGTAGACTTACAAATTTTTGTGCTTGGGTTTCAGTTATACAATGATCAAATACCCATCCCTTCACCAGTGCCCATTTCCCACCACCATGGATCCCAGTATCCCTCCCACCCCCCAAGCCCCCCATCCCACCCATATATTCCTCAATACTCTTCTGTATCATAGATTTTCATTTGATAGATATCTGTAAATCTTAAAGGCTTTCCTTTATATGTAGCACTGTAGCACTGTCCTCCCATTGTTCATCGATTTGCTCGAGCGGGAACCAGTAACGTCTCCATTGTGAGACTTGTTGTTACTGTTTTTGGCATATCAAATACATCACAGGTAGCTTGCCAGGCTCTGCTGTGTGGGCAGGATACGCTCGGTAGCTTTCCGGGCTCTCAGAGAGGGGCGGAGGAATCGAACCTGGGTCAGCCGAAGTTCCTTTTTAAATTTTTTTTTTTAATTGAATCACCGTGAGATACAGTTACAAAACTTTCATGTTTGCGCTTCAGCCATACAATGATCAAACACCCATCCCTCCACCAGTGCACTTTCTCTACCAACAGTGTTCCCGGTATCCCTCTCCCTGCCCCATCCCAGTCCTCACCCAGTCTTTATCGCAGACAATTTCCCCAATACACTCTCTCTGCTTTTGGGCATTATAGTTTGCTCAAACTTTCCCACCACCATTCAAACCTGCCTGTCAGGGGCAGACGCTAGATTATTTAATTTTCCATTGCTCACTTTGAATATGATGAGCAGTCACGCGGCCTCAAAAGCGGTCACACGCTTCTGGAATTCTGAGATGGTAAATGGTTGGGGTCCAGAGACATCTCTGCAGGACGCTAATCCATTTTAGGATTCAATTGGGAGTCCCTGGTCCAGGGCCGATGGAGCGCTAACATGGTGCCCAGAGGCAGATTGTGGGCGTGACAGCCAGGCTGCCAAGCCGGTGGGAGCCAGGGAGAGATAGCCCGGCTCTTCTGCTGCCGCTGCCGCCATGTGGCCTGGGGTCTTAGTCCTGGGACCCAAAGACCTAGGCCTTGCTTCTGACTGCTTATGGTCACCGGGACTTCATCTGGATCAGACAGGGGGAGCACACCTGCTCCATCTGGGATGCCCCGGTGAAATTGGCTCGGTACGGAGCCCGGAGAGATCTCTGGTGATGTGGTGAGATCTTCCGGGATTCACTGCTATGTCTCTGGGCCAGAGCTGTTGGTCCCTTTTTTAATCTTGATGCTGGCAATGTTCTGTACCTGTTACATTTTTAGATGTTTAACCTACCTGTCTAGTTGCTATCTCTTAGGTAATTCTCTCTTTTCTCTTGTTATCTTTCTATTTATAAAAGTAGTATAAGTTTATAATAGAATGATTTTTTTTGGAAATAAATAGATTTTACTTGGAGGATTTTTAAGTTGTGTGTGTGTATGGGGGGGGGAGAGAGAGAGAGAGAGAGAGAGAGAGAGAGAGAGAGAGAGAGTAACATACTCAAGAGAGAACACAGGCTTCTCCAAGGACGGAGAGAGAGCCCCTACACACATCCTAGGATTAGACAGAAAAGCATGAAAGTACACATCTCAAGAGTGGAGATGCGGGCGACACATGTGCTCAGGCACCACATGTGCTCAACCACGTGGGCGCAAGCAGCACAAGGGCTCGGGCAGCATATGCGCCTAGGATGATTAAAAAAAAAATAGCAGTAGAAGGAAATTTAGAATTGTTTCTATCTAATTAAAGCCTTTCACACATATGCTTTGTAGCTAAGTAATGCTAGATATGGGGTATTCATAGTCCTTTTTTTTTTTTTAATTTTGGGCTGTAGCCAGCAATACTCACGGGTTACTCCTGACTCTGCATTCAGGATTTACTCCTGGCAGTGTTTGGGGGACCATATGGAATGTTGGGATCAAACTTGGGACAGCCATGTACAAGACAAATGCCCTTCCCGCTGTACTCTTGCTCTGGTTTGCAGCATTACCAATCTTGACACACAATCAGAAGTATGTACCTACTGTTTTGTGGCATGTTTTTCAGGGTTAATATATACTGTACCTTCTCCTCGCATTATGTTACATATATATATTTTATTAGTGTAACACCATGAGGTACAGTTATAGACTTATACATTTTTGTGCTTGGGTTTCGGTTATACAATGATCAAGTACCCATCCCTCCACCAGTGCCCATCCTCCACCACCACGGGTCCCAGCATCCCTCCCACCCCCCATCCCCACCCCCCACCCCACCCTATCTCTGTGGCAGGGCATTCCCCCTTGTTCTCTCTCTCTTCTTTTGGGTACTGTGTTTTCCAAGAGAGGCATTGAGTGGCAATCATGTTTGGTCTATAGACTACTTTAAGCATGCTTCTCCCACCTTGGGAGGGTTCCTCACAGCACCCTTTATTTGGTGCTCTCTTCTCTATCTGAGCTTCCTTTTCACCTAGCACGTGTGGCTGTCCTTCAATTCATGGAGCAAAATTCCTGGTACTAATCTCAGCCATTCCTGGGTGTTAGTCTCCCTTTTTGTTGCTTTATGTTCCCCAGATGAATGCAATCTTTCTGTGTCTATCCCGCTCTTTCTGACTCATTTCACTTAACATGATACTTTCCATGTAGTACCACTTATATGTAGATTTCATAACTTCATCTTTTCTAAAAGCTACATAGTACTCCATTGTGTAAATGTACCAGAGTTTCTTTAACCAGTCATCTGTTCTCGGGCACTCAGGTTTTTTCCAGATTCTGGCTATTGTAAAGAGTGCTGCAATGAAGTTACTTATATTTTTGGCCTTCCCAGCAGTGTTCCAGGGTCCTTGTGCTGCTTTTGGTAATACTAGGCCTTTCAGGCCACCTGATGGTTCGGTGCTTTGCACACCCAGTGGTACTTGGGGCCTCGGTGACCCAGGGGACCATTTGGTTCTGCAGATCCAGTGTGGGGCCTTGAGGATGCAGCGTATGCCCTGCAAACCTTTGATCTCTCTCCCGGGTCCCTCAGAATTCCTTTAAACATTGCTTTTCCTTATTGCATATAGTATTTTCACTTGTGTATTCTGTTATTTCTTCTCTCGCTGCTGTCCATTTTGGTTGGCTCCAGTGGTTCATTTTTCAAAAAGGACATTACGTCTGTCCCTGATTATTTCCCATGATAAATTCCTGGGACTAGAGTTTCTGGCTCAGAAAAAAGTGAACGTTTCTAAGGCTTTCGGAAGATATAGCCAAATTGCCCCCCAGGCCTGGCCAAGCTATACACAGACAGAAGGGCACGAAAGCACTCATATTTCTGCAGTCAGTTGCAGAGGTACCATCCCCCAACCCTCTCTTTTTTTTTTTTCTTTTTGCAGGGTGTGAGGTATCTCCCAAGCAGTGCTCAGGGTGTCTGGGGCCCCCTCCTGGTGATTCTCAGCCAGCCCCTGTCGGAGGTCCCATGCCAGGGCTTGAGGAAGCAGTGCTGCTTGGACTCTGTGGTTCTTGGGCCCCATTCTGGCTGTGTTTGGTGCTCAGGGGACTGTAGGGTGCAGTGGATCAAACTGGGGTCAGCTGCGTGCGAGGTATGTGCCTTAACTTCGGTGCTCTCTCTTTGGCCCCAGGTCGCTGCATTTTTAGCACAGGTGTGGGTGAGTTTAATTTGGTAGGCTGAGGTGACCGTTCCCTGCGCCACCACATACTGCGTGACTATATTAAGTTGCCTCCTTCTTCTCTTGTCTTACAGACTCCCCCGCCCAAGCCCCCACGACGGCAAGGAGGCTGGGCAGATGACTCCATGAAGGTTTCTAAGTGAGTATCTTCGCTCCCTGTGGCCTGCTAGGGTGGGGTGGGGTGGGGTAGGTGTTCTTGGGCTGCTGTGCTTTTTGACAAACAGTGCTTTTTATTTTTCAACTTTAAAATTTTCTTTTCTTTTGACTTTTTGGGTCACATCCGGTGATGCACAGGGGTCACTCTTGGCTCTGCACTCAGGAATTACTCCTGGCGGTGCTCAGGGGACCATATGGGATGCTGGGAACTGAACCCAGATTTGGCCACATGCAAGGCAAATGCCCTACCCGCTGTGCTATGGCTCCAGCCCCGGCGGTAGTTTTTAAACAAAATTCAAACATGATTTAAACACCATGTTTTACCAAATGGCTCATAATAGAGTTGTTTTAGGCATTCCGTGTTCCAGCACCCATCCCCTCCCACCACCAGTGTGACCCTCCCTCCCTCAATGTCACAGCTTCCAGCCCCTTCACCTCCTGCCCCCCCAAGCCTGTCCTCTTGGCAGGCACAAAATAATTTATTTTATATTGCCTGTCACAACAAAATGGCAGATGATGCAGATGGAATTATGAAAAAAAAGTTCAGAAAAAGAAAATTTGTAAAAATTGTTTTACTATGGTGTTGTTAAAGTCATTGAGGATTTACTGAGCTTTTGAGCCTTCTGTGTTACTGTTTTCATCCAGTGAGCTTAGAGGGCACCAATGGAGCTTTCCTAATGAATTTTCTGGGCTCCTGCTGGGCTGTTAGTACTGTGACATGTGGAGGTGTCGTGTGTCCCCATTTGTGGCTGCCTGCTCCAGGAGCGGTAGAACCGGGGCAATGCTGTGGCTTGGCCTCCCCTCTGAGATTAGTCGGAAAGCCATGAGACTGGGCCATTCATGCGCCGGAGCATGTGGGGTGTGGGGGGGGGGGCGGCTGGGCCTCCTGGCAGAATGAGGGGAAGGGCTGGGGCGAGCTCGCCCACTCCTATGCTGAGAAGGCCCCCAAGCCTCAGCCCAGAGACTGGTCCACCTGGGAGTCTCATTGGTTTTGGCATCTCGTCCCAGATTAGTCATGAAGCTGTGACTCTGGGCCTTTTATAGGTTCAGAGAAAATGGGGTATGGGTGGAGCTGCTGGGACTTCTTACAGAACGAGAGGTGAAGTGGGGGACAGAAGCTTTGTTGCCCTATAGTGTGTAGGTCATGCAGTTCATCCACTGAAAAATGGACATTTCCCCTGTCGTCGGTCTCTCGACAGAGCTGTGCTGTCATGACTCCAGTCATCTTAGAACATTTCGGACCCCTAAACCTCCCCTTGTTAGCTGTCATTTCCTATTCTCCCCTCACCCTACCTCCCCAGCCCCGGGAATCACTGACCTGCCTTCTGACTGAAGTGTCTGTGCTGGACGTGTTGTGTGAAAGGAATTATGCAGTTTGTGGTCCTTCCAGGCTGGCTTCTTACACCTGCATAAGACTCTCAGAGCTTATCTAGAATATAGCACTTTGGTTTCTGCTCTTCCCAAACAGAACGGATTGCCTCTTAGCATTACAGACCATTTTTGTCCTTACTCTCCTGCGCAAAATTATAAATGAAAGGTAAACTGCCTGAAATATTTGTACCAGTGGGATGACTTAAGGAATGACTTAAGGAATTTCCTTTTCTCAAAGAAACACACACACACACACACACACACACACACACACACACACTCCTTTTCTCAAAGAAACACACACACACACACACACACACACACACGCATGCACGCATGCACGCACACACACACTTATCTTCTGAATCATTTATAAGCAAGTTGTAAAGGCCATGACATTTCCCCTCTAAATACTTCAGCATACATCTTTCAAGATTAAGGACATTCCCCAAATAATTATACTATCTTTATCATGTCTAAGAAATTTCATAATGTTTTAATAATATTTGACATATAGTTTCTTTTAAAATTTTCCCAGTTGCCTTATAGTCTTTTTTTTATTGAATCACCATGAAATACAGTTACAAAGCTTTCATTTTTGAGTTTCAGTCATACAATGATCGAACATCCATCCTTCCACCAGTGTACATTTTTCACCACCAATGTCTCCAGTATCCCTCCCCCGTCCTCCCCTTCCCCGTCTCTATGGCAGACAATTTCCCCCATACTCTCTCTCTACTTTGGGGCATTATGTCTTTAGTCTTTCTTGATCTAAAATGGTTACCTCTCTGCCCCAATTGATTTTTTTTTCCGCTTTTGTTTTTGGAGCCACACTCAGCAGAGCTCAAAGGCACGTTGTTTGTAGACTTTTCCCAGTGTTGCTCAGGGGATCAGGTGCTTGGTATCAAACCAGGGCATCCTGCATGCAAAGCATGTGCTCCAGCCCCTGAGCTCTCTCCTCATCTCCTCAATCCCAGTTGACATTTCTTTTTGAGAAATCCAGGCCAGATATCTTATAGAATGCAACACACGTTAGATTTCTCTGGCTTTTTATGATCAGATTCAAGTTGAAGACTCCTAGCATGAACCCATGTTGTATACTTCTTATTTTATCAGTGGGATGGTATTGAAAGCTGTACTCAGAGTATGTTCTACTCCCATTCTTTGTTCTCTTCAGTCCCTCACATCCCCTGTGGGTAGCCTCTGTGTTCATTTCTGGTTTAGCTTCATGGGATTTTTTTCAGAAAAAAAAAAGGTACTGATAAATCTCCATTTATTAAGAGTTATATCCTCTTTATTTCTCAAAATTGCTAAATCTTAACTCAGCACACTATAGGCCCACACATCAGCTCCCTATTTTTATACGTAATATTTTATTGAAACCACACCACACCCTCCCATTTTTTAAATTTAGATCTCTGACCTATGGAATTAATCCTGATCATGATATGAGGTCTGGATCCAGTTTTATCTTTTTCTAAATGGCTCCCGTCCTAGGATCATTTATTAAAATATAAGGCTTTCTCCAGGATCTGAGAAGTCACCATTACCATATTCTACATATTTGTATCTGAGTTTGCATTTACACTATTCTTCTGTTCCCATGGTCTTTTTTCCCCCCATAATGTAGTAGTACTGCTACTTATTCAGTACTGCTATTGATTAAGCTGATTGAATTGGGCATGAACTCCACATTACTTTTTCTTTTCAGAATATTAATTTTATTATTATTTTTCCCCCTTTTCCCACTTTTTATTGATTCACTGTGAGATAGTTACAAAGCTTTCATGTTTGAGCTTTGGTCATACAGTCATCAAACACCCATCCCTTGACCAGCACATTTTCCACCACCAAAATTCCCAGTATTCCCCCACACACCCGCCATTCTAACCCTTCCCCTGCCTGTGTGGCAGACATTTTCCCCCCATACTTTCTCTCTACTTTGGTTACATTCAATATTTTGGTACCAGTCCCACCACCACTCAAACCTGCTGAAAAGGCAATGCTAGGTGATTTGTTTTGTATTGCTTGTTATGGATAGAATATAATGTCCAGAAAATTCTGTGTTGTTCTCTTCCGGGAGATTTAGTTTATAGTCTCTGGGTCTACATGGTACCGGGGGCAGTTTGTGTGTGTGACTGCCAAGCTTCTGGAAAACTGGGGACCTCAGGGGAGGAAGTCCAGTCCCGATCCGAGCAGGCTTTGAAATCTCAGTCATGGGTTCCCACATACCTGTGTTTTCCTGCTGGTCAGCTCATGGGTGAGGTTCATCACACTTTAGGTGAGGCTCATCCAAGTGTATGGACAGTAGCCTTGGGCATGGTGGTGGTTGGGTTCTGGAGGTTTTCAGCTGTCAGGGTTCTGCTTGTGGGGGAGGGAAACTCAACCCACCCCCCTCAGAGGTGCCCCAGTGAAGACAGCCTGGCATGGGGTTAGGACGGCTCTTTCTTCTGGAAGCTAAGTTTATAGTTACTGGATCTTGGCCGTTAATGAGATTACATAGTGCCAGGGACAGTTTGTGGGTATGACTGCCAAGCTACTGGAAAAGTGGGGACCTGTGGGGGGAGGAGACCCAGTCCTGATCCAAGCGAACTTGGAGATCTCAGTCACGGGTTTCCCCTTACCTCCGTGCTACAGTCCGTAACTGTGTCTTTTGATTTCTTTTGAGATTCATGGGTCTCAGAAATAAGGTCAGTAAATGGGCTTATATAGCTGAGCTGGAGGTGGTTTGTGGGTGTGGTTCCCACATGCCTTTTGGCTGTTTAATTTCTTGGTAAACTTGGCCCCAAGTTGTTGAGGTGTAGCCAAAGACACAGCAACAGTTTTGGGGTATCTGAAAGTATGAAGGCACCATCAGACTGCTGATATCCCAGGACCTTTCTGCCAATCCATAAGGCATCAAGTACCACACAGTTGGACAGGGGTTACTCCTGACTCATGCACTCAGAAATTACCTCTGGTGGTACTCGGGGGACCATATGGGATGCTGGGAATTGAACCCTGGCTGGCTGTGTGTAAGGCAAATGCCCTACCCACTGTGCTATTGCTCCAGCCCCAGTTGTTACTTTTTTAATAGAACATAATATTCTCCCTGAAGGGAGCATAACCTGACACTCACCATAACCACACCACCGGACCTCGTGCCAGGCTGTTTCACTTGGGGCATCCCAGAGAGGGGCGGGTGAGACCCCTTCCTGCCCCAGGGGACGCAGTCCCAACAGCCAAAAAGCTCTAGAACTCAGCCACTGCCATGCTCACGGCCACTATCCACATGCTAGGGCCAAGTCTCACCCATGAGTGAATCTGTGGAAAAATCCAGGTATGCAGGACTTTGTGACTGAGAACTCTGAATTCAACAGGACAGGGTACAGAGATCCTCCGCCCGTATCCCCCTGTCTCTGGTGACTCAGCAGTCATGCCCATAAGTCACCTCAGACTGGCACCAGATGATCTCGTCATTGACCACCATCCAGACCGCATGTCCTTCTTTCCTGGAAGGGAACATAACATGACACTGGCCATAACCCTGCCACCAGACCCCATGCCAGGCTGTTTCACTCAGGACACCCTGGAGGGGAGCGAGTGAGACCCCTCCCTGCCCCAAGGGACCCA